AATTAGATCATATGTAAAAAAACTGAAAATAAACGTTACCCGACTACACGAGCCACAGATTTCCACAGGTTACACAAATCAGTTAAACAAAAAGTAAAAGCACACAAACTGCAATGGTCATTTGATATACATTTCAAACATTATTGTGATTTTCCTAGCAAGGCTTAACATGTTAACCACATTAGTCCTTTCAAACAACGTTTCAGTCTAACGTTATGTTGCTATGAGATTCTTACCCGATGGAAAAATATGACAAACTAAGAAAAGCATCAACCAAAATCTTGGCGACAAGGAACAACGCTACAAGTACTCGCCATAGTTTGTCAATCTGTCGAACACATGGCAACGTAACGTTCATCATCGCCGATTACATGCATACGAAGATTTAAACGCACGTTTGCAAAATGTCACAGAACAGCGTGTGCATAACACGTGGTTTTAGTCTCTCTCTTGCTATTGGCTGCAAAAGCCACTGCAGGCGGGTCACAAAACAAAGAAGCAACAACCAGAGGTCGCAAACGGGTTTTGATTCCGTACCCGGCCGCACCAGGGTCGCAAACGGGTACCCGTACCCGGCCGGATACGGGTAGCCGGGTATCGGGTAGGGTACGGGTATCGGGTACCCGATTGCGACCTCTGGGATGAAGCCATGTTGCAGGCGCGGGTGGGTTGATTCTAGGAACTTGAATTGTGAGAAGAGACAAGACGTTGGGAAATAAGTGGCAAACCGTTATTCACCAGTGACTCACGGCCTTCTCACTCATTGGTTGGGGTGAGTCACGTGCGGCTACCCGTACCCGGCCGCACCAGGGTCGCAAACGGGTACCCGTACCCGGCTGGGTACGGGTAGCCGGGTATCGGTAGGGTACAGGTATCGGGGTACCCGATTGCGACCTCTGGCAACAACCAAGCGAGTAGCCATTTCTTTGAGTGTACCTTGCGAATGTGCTTAAGGGCGAGAAGAGGGGCTACTATAGGAGGAAGGGATAGTCGTAGGCGGCTTTAGGCAACGGCCAAAACTCATCGGTCACAGAGAAGTACGGGTAAATCATCTGCAGCTGCCAGTACGTGTCGTCACGATAAATGAAGAACCGCTTGTGGTACATGACCTCGACGCAGATACCAATGGTGCTCAACGCCCTCTGCAGGGCTGTCTGGCCCGGCCGAAAATAGCTGAAGAACTTCAGCATGTCCTTCGCCAGCGCCTGCTGCTTCGACTTGGGGCCGAAGATGTCGCTGCCGTTTCCGAGGGACTTGGCTGCGTCGCTGTAGAGGGCGAGCCGTGACCTCCTGGCAGTCTCGGACCCGATGAAATTGGCCCCGATGGAGGAGAGCTTCGCGATGACGCCCTGCACGTAGCCGTTGCTGTCCCGTGCGTCGAACTGCACCGTCGCGTTGCTGCCCGTGCCGTTGTAGACCGTCCAGAGGTCGAAGGGCGTCGCGCTGGCGTTTTGCGACTGCACCCAGGCGGCCATTTGGTTGAAATTCTCACCTGCGGAACAAGCCGAAGCAGGTGAAGAATTCACATCGCTAAAAAAGACCACGTTCTACAGCATTTTTTTACCCCTCCCACCACACCAACCTGTATTTGAATAAAAACTTTAGAGGTGTCGTGTAATCCAGATAATACATCAGCTTCAGGAAGACATCTCCCTCCCCCCTCATTGTAATGCAGCGTGTCCATAAAGTATCTACCTGAAGACGGCTCTCCATGGTACCGAATTCTCCCGATAATAAAAAATACAGATTTTCTTCGCAACGTCCACTCTATATTTAGGATCGTTATACTCTGCACCGTTCTTTTCCGTATTCAGTAGGAGAATGTTAATTCTGAAAACATTTGGGGTACGTCATACTGTCCCGGACCACCTTATAATCCGGAAAATACGGTATTTATTCTGTTATTTCCATCAACTTTTGCGATGTCAAGGGATTCGTACTTAGGATCTCAAGTGCTCAGATCCTTCAACCACTGGATCATCACCTCGCTTGTATAATTTTTTTTGCTCCATTTAAAAATTACTTATACTCTTTTGTCCCTCCACTTTCCTACACTGGGTTTTACTCAATTGGGTAATTCGCGACCAATTTTCAAACGTGGCAAAGTCGGATCGTAATACCGGCACACGTACACACAAGGCCTACACCGTTCTCAAATAAAGACATTGGACATTTAACCTTTTCCCATTCCGATGACGTACACATACGTCATCAGTTTTCTTTCCGATTCTGTTCTGATGACGAACGTGCAAGTTCATCGGAATGTAATCGGAAGAAAAAAAAACTATTGGACCGAGGCTGCCAAAAGTCCATGCGGGAGGGCGTGGCACAGTTTGGCGCAAGCAATCACAGATCGTGTCACTACGGTTTTCTGTGGCGAGTTCAATGCGGGGGATGGACGCTGGGAGCCTGAATCGCAAACGTCGCTCACCCGTCATCTCGGCCACTTTGACGACGCTCGCAGCCTCCATTGAGCCACCCTCAACCGAGGTGAAACAGGAGGCCCCTACGTTGCACCAGATGGGGTCGCCCCCCTTGTCCAGGAGGAGGGGCGTCGCCCCGGAGGAAGTGCCGAACAGGGGGTTCCAGCTCAGCGTGAAATTTCGTTTCATCAGGAAACTGTAGAACCCCAGGGACTCGCGGTAGCTCTGTGCGGTGAGGGGAGGTGGTGGTGAGGGGCGAGAACAATATTAATTTCAGGATGTGTCTGTCCATGTTGGCAACCCAGAAAATATTCCATCGCCTGGCACACCACATCTAGTAGACCACTTGCTATGGCCACGGCTACCACTGGCCACGTGCTTTTCTCCAGTATTCCAAGCAACCCGAAAAATATTGGGTTTTTTTAACGAAGAAATGAAGCCCTGTACTTGTGTTGCGGGGCAATGTACGACTCCGAGGCAGGTTGCGTTTAGGGGCTTACGCCAAGTTTGTTAAGGGCTTACGCTGAACCAAAACCCCCCTAGCCTATAACTCCCCAGGGGATAGGGGACTGATCCCTACAACCCCGGCTAACTCGGCTCTCCACCCTGCCCCGGCCCGGGACTACCCCAACCTCGGCCGGTCGGGCGGAGTAGCCTCCCCGAGCCTCGTGTGAGGACCAACTACCGAATCCCCACTCCTACCCCCGACGAACCCTGGTTACATCCCGGGTCCCCCTTTAAATACCCCCCCGGGGGCATGACGTCACAGTCCCCCAAGCGCCGCCTGACGTTACGTTCTGCGACGCCACTCCTCCGAGGGCGAGCGTGACGCGACGTCACCCACTACACCTCTACACTTGTATTGCCAAGGTCGCATCGTCAACCGTCATATATGCGCCTTAACCAACGAACCGCCCACACCCAGGGAAAGCGAAGGGCAGCGACTCACACTCCACAGGCCTTGCAGCCCAGGGAAGTGGCTCTGGAGCTCGGACAGGAAGGGCTCGTGGTGGCGGCCCAAGCCCTCTGAGCGTAGCAGGAACACAACGAGGCCATCCTCGGGCTGCACAGTGGGCAGGCCGCCACCTCGACGGCCCCGCGCGCAGAACGGAGACTGGGCGTGGCACCGGGGGTCCACCGAGGGAGTCTTGTCCAGCCTGCGAAAACAAACCCCCCCACCACACGTGGCCTTCAGCAAGAGGCAAGAATGTTTAACACGGAGTAGGCTTTCGTGATCGATGTTATCCAGGAGGCTTTTTTTAGTTCGATTGCGTAAATATAAATGTGTCATTAAAATCCACCACCACCCGACACAGCCCAGAAGCAAGGTTTGTCAAAGGTAAAATGTTGTGGGTTTAACTCTCAAACACACCGGTGTGCTGAACTAGTCCCTAATTGACATGTTTTGTTTACAAGACAAACCTTACTAATTATCTGTGTCGGGTTTAACAACACATTTACGCGTTCTAACCCAAAAAACACCCTCTATGAAGGGGCAAGCATGTGTAGTGTCTTGTAAAATCACTCCGTCGGACACGTTGTTACAGGTCACCCTGCTTACACTTTATTACTCTATTCTTGCACCAGTTGTAGGCACTCCTGTCTGTCTATACAGTCAATTTTGTTGACCAATTCCCTTATCTACTTTACACCTCGCTAACCTGCCTGCGGCAGCCCTTCCTCTCAGCAGCCCCGCACTCACAGCTCCGCACACAGACAGCAGCTCTTGTTCTCAGCAGCGCTCACACAGAGCTCGCACACAGCAGCGCACACACAGAGGACCGCACACAGCTTCGCTCACACAGAGGCTTGCACACAGCTAGAGGCTCGCACACAGCAGCGCACACACAGAGGCTTGCACACAGCAGCGCACACACAGAGGCTTGCACACAGCAGCGCTCACTCTGCACCGCTGCCCTCGCCTACGTTCCCTCAGACCAACTCATTCGTCCGATCCGAGCGGGGGGATCAATCATCACCCGCCCGGCGACTCGGCAGCGGCGAGGAGGTCTTCACCGTGGTCCCAGCAACCCAAACTCCCGCTCCGCTCTCACGCGCCTCCTTATATCCTCCTCCCAATGATCCAGCTCCTCCCTTGTGTCTCGTTAGGGCCAGAGAGGCTGGCGCCTGTCAGACCATCAATCACCCCTTATCGCACGTCTCCCTGGCAACACCTCCGGTGTCAGCGAGCAACCCCGGGCTGACCCCGTCTGGACCCGATTCTCCCCTTAATGGGGTGGAGGTTTGCTTGTGCAACCTCCCGTTGCACACGCGCACCTGCCAGCCCTTGGTTGCCCTCGGCCAACCAGTGCGCACCGCGTATTTCACCATACTACACGTGTATGCTGAACTTTCGCACCGTACGTAGCCGACAGTGCTAATTGGAGGTGCGGGGGGAAGGAGAAAAACTGAACACAAAAAGCAGTTCTAAAGAAATCAGTTTTCTTACTCGATTTAAAAGTGCATAGCTCCCAGTGGCTTCCTAATATCGGAAGAGCGTTCCAGACGGCCGCAAGGACAGTTAAGCGAGCAAGTATGATGACAGCCACCACAGCATACAAGGGAGTGGGTGGCCAATACCATGCCCGGCCGCCTTTGTCTTCCCAGTGCTGATGGTTTTACACACACCGCACAAGATTCTCATTTTAAAAAAAGGAATACACAAAATGCAAACATTTGCTGCTCAAAATCGAGCAGCGTCGCTATGATCAAAGCAGAGAAAAACGAAAGTTTAGGGAAATCCCCAAATGCCATTTTTACCCCGGCAGCGATTCATAATATATTACACTTGTCTCGACTCGCAGTTGTGTTGTATACAGTGGCTTATTCAGGCACATTGGTTATGTTGCTGCTTTTCATCGTCATCATTATTGGTGGGCTCGGGTTTTGTCCCATTTCTTAAAGTATTTGTCACGTACTCTCTGGTTCTTTCGGTAAAGTCACGTAGATAGAAAAAATTCTAAAATAATAAAATAAAACAAGTCGTTTCGGTCGCAACACAAGCTTCCGCCTTCAGGTGAGAAAAAAATATCCGCTGTTGTGGCTTTATATAGGCGCAGGAGGGGAGAGGGAAGGGGGGGGGAAGGGGTTTGGCTGTGGGAGTTCACAGGGGAGAGGGGGGTGGGAGGGTTTGTGGCGTGCAGGGACGGGTGAGGCTAGAACAATTAGCAAGTAAATGGACTTGTAGTACAAGTCGTAATCGGACGACGACAACCGAGTGGGTGAGTGAAAATCATAGCAGTTAAAATTTACGTGGTTCATCACATCCTTCTTCTCGATCAAAGTTTTGTCTGTGTTTGTATATGTGGATAGCTTCATATTTTTCCCAAACAAACAAAAAAAATCATCAATTGCAAACAACCCAGAGGCAAATGGTGCTCATGGCAAATATACAGCCCTGCAGAGCCAGTGGTGGAAATTCGACATTTCTATGGCGGGTGCGAGTCTAACCAGTCATAAGACAACCACGGTCAACTTCTGCACAAAGTGGTGCTCGTTTTATAGACCCCTGAGGGATGATGTAACCGTGTGACACGAGCTGGGAAAATGCACAATGTCCAAACCCCTCGGCTACAGGGTCTCTTTTATGGGAAGGAAACTGGTTATGGTTGAGTTTAATAAATAAACGCGTGACCGCTGTCACCACCACCACGACCACCCTTCTCTCGTGGTGTTACAGCAAAAACAGAGGGGAACAAACAAGTCCTTGACAAGTGCTGAAGGAGAGATGGGGAGGGGAGGGCGGGGAGTCAGAGGCACCGCGGTGGCGAGATGTTAACTACCTCGCCTGGTGTGCAGGAGGTCATGGGTTCGACCCCAACCCTGACACCTGTATATTTAGAGCATCAACGTTTCTCCTGCTTTTCCCTCCACATTTAGAAACGTGTGTTTAGAGTATTTGGCTGCTATACATTTCCACGTGATAAGCCACATCGTTGAGTTATATCAATTGTGGCCAGGTCGCTTCTGAAAAGAGCTATATATCTCAGTGGGCCTTACCTGATAAAATAATGAATGTCAGTTATATATAGTATAGTATTACAGCTTGGCTGACCCATGTCTTAGTGAAAGGATCAGACTTCCCAATGCAGCTGGTCCCTCCTCCAAATGAGTCTTGAGACTCGGCGAAGCCCAACAGGGAAAAGGGAATTTTCTATTTTTGCGTCGCACACTGCACGACAAACCCAGCGATCTTGGAACCCATCGCTGGCCATAGCCAACATCAGTTGCGAGCGATGTCCCAACCGGTCCCGGGCCACCGACCGGCATGGGACCAGTGTGGTGCAGAGGTCGCAAACGGGTTTTGATTCCTTACCTGTAGCCGGCCGCACCAGGGTCGCAAATGGGTACCCGTACCCGATACCCAGCCGGGTACCGGGTAGGGTACGGGTACCGGGTACCCGATTGCGATCTCTGGGATGAAGCCATGTTGCAGGCGCGGGTGGATTGATTCTAGGAACTTGAATTGTGAGAAGAGACAAGACGTTGGGAAATGAGTGACAAACGGTTACTCACCAGTGACTCACGGCCTACCCGTACCCGTACGCACCAGGGTCGCAAACGGGTACCCGTACCCGGCTGGGTACGGGTAGCCGGGTATTGGGTAGAGTACGGGTATCGGGTACCCGATTGCGACCTCTGGTGTGGTGCAGTATGGGTCGGGCAAACATCAACTCCGACCCGACAGGCCCCGTGGGGAGGTCCTGGTCCAGCAGTGGATAGAGAAGTGCACGTACATCACCTGCGTCCATCCACTGCTGGACGGTCCAGTACTCCTCCCAACAACACACCCGAGCGGGTGGTGAGCATCACTTGAGCAGACTTCACCGTAGAAGCACAGTACGAAGAATGCGTCTTTTTATTGTTTATTAAGATCATCACGAGGGGGAAATGCGTACTGTACGGTTGTTATGCGAGAGGTCACTGGGTGTGTGCGTAGATTCTTGCGGTTTTTGCCAGTCTTACAGCCACCCCCTCGCCTCCTCCGCTGTCCCCCACCTCCCACCACCCCCGGTGCACTTTGCAAGCCGACGGAGGCCGTTTGAGTCCAAAGGAGGCTTTCTACTACTGGACGTAGTCAGCGGTTTAAATCCTGTTTATAGCCATAAGCAGTGGACATTCCACATTCCTATTAGAGGAGAGGGGAGCGTCTTCTCCATCCATAGGACAAGCACTGTTGACTTCCCCACAAAGTGGTATGCATTTTTATCGACCCCGGAGAGATTATTGGCAGAGTATTAACATCTTGGCGAAGCCGGTGTTACACAGGCTTCGTTTTCCTGCATCAAAATGTAAAGAGAACCTATGACTATTGCCGAAATTTACGTCATTATTTCATTCCTGGGTAACCCACAGAGCGTCGCTCGATAAGCGTTGCATGGCTTGGCTTGGTCGCAATGGTTAGAACGCTTGGTGGCAGGTGAGCAAAGTTCAGCTCGGTCTGTTTGTTTGAAACAGTTTTCTCAGCGCACGCTCAAAGTCCCAAAAGTGGCAAGCGGCCAGCAACAAGCAGCACCATTATAAAAGTTGTACTCTGTGAGAGTGCAACACTTGTCTTAAATTAAACTAGGATATTTATTTTAAGAGATTGGGAGCAAAGAGATGATAGGATGAGGGGATTCCAGGGTGAGGCAGTGCAAGGGAAGAAGCGGAATGATACGTGTTTTGTCCTGCAGTGTGGTGGGTGAGCGAGTGGGTGAGCGAGTGGGTGAGCGAGTGGGTGAGCGAGTGGGTGAGTGAGAGGGTGAGTAAGTGGGTGAGCGAGTGGGTGAGCGAGTGGGTGAGCGAGTGGGTGAGCGAAGGAGTGGATGGGAGATTGAATGGGTGGGTGAGTGAGCGGGCGGGTGAGCGGGTGGGTGAGCGAAACGTCGTAGTTTTTTGTTATTTTTTAGTTATTTTCTTTGAACCTATCTACGTGACTTTACCGAAAGACCCAAATAATGTTTATTTGATCTTGTCATGTTTTCTGTATCTTTGAACCCGGTTTAGAGCAGTTGCACTATCGGCGTCACGGAATGAAAAACATGGCCGGGTGCTTTCAAAGACAGCCCGAGGAAGCAGATTTTACAGAGCTACGTCTGAGATCCCTCCCAGCGACCTCCGTTGCACGTTGTGTATGAGGGCAGGGAAGCACTTTCGCCGCCCTCTCTGCTACACGGAGTAAAGTTGTCGTGTGAAAGTCGAACCAATGTTTAATTCGAAGAGCTGAAATTTAGCCAAATTAAGAGCAGAACCTATTTTTAAGCGATTAAATGCAATTTTGATGCGCGCCATGTGGGCATCGAGTCGTGCGTGCGAAAATTGATAATTATTTTACTTTTCGCGCAAACGCTAGGCCGACCTTGAACTAATGCCAATGGAGCAAACAAAACTGAACTGGCGGAAAACAATGCCAACGAGAAGAGAAAAAAAGTGGGACCACAAAATATATCGATTGTTGTGGTCAATTGTCATACAAGAAGCTACCGCCCAAGAAAACGTTGTGGGGTCGAGGGGGAGGGGATAAAAGGGATAATTCTGTACCCCCCTAGGCTACTTGTATATCCAGGAGAGCCTTACAGTCTGAAATACTTTTCATAAGGGTTCGTCATTGACAATGACCAACCATGGAGAACGTCTTGCCTTCCACATTCGCCCCCCCCCCACACAGAGTCTCCTGACACGGTATCGAGGCTCGGTGGGTTGTCGGTAAAACCAGAATGTGGTAGAATTTTTTTTAAAAATAATCCTTTCAGATTGTGCCCGAGATACGAAGCCAATGAAGGACGACTCTTAACATCGAGCCAAAAAATCTTGCCGGCCAGCCACCAAGTTACCCGGCAACTCAGCACCTACTCGTCCATCTACCACCCACACATCCACTTTCCCAGTCACCAGCCCACCCAGTCAGTCAGACATCTGCCTAGATACCCTGCAATCAAGTTATCCACAGGGTGGGGAACGTCCGGCCTGTGGGCCGTATAAGGCTTCCGAAACCAATTGGCAGTTCCAGCCATCACATTAGGGGCGAGTTAATTCAATGTTTGACCAAATATAAACAGGCTAATCTTTAAGTTGATAATGTTGTATGGCCCGCGAATGATGTTGTAAATGTCCAAATGGCCCTTGGCAGAATAAAGGTTCCCCACCCTATTCTAAACCAACCAGCCCTAACCTACCCAGCTACCCAACTATCTATTTAACCAGTCTCCCATCCACCCACCCACACAGCCATTCATCCATCCACATACCTAGCCACCAAGGTCAGTGATAAGGGTGAGTGGGGTGGACCCTGCACTACCAAATATTGCTATGCCCCCCCCCCCAAATTAACTCTACTTAGTGGCGAATCACTATTACACAACCGCGGTGGCGAGATGTTAACTACCTCGCCTGGTATACAGGTCGTGCACGTTCTCCCCATGGATTTTTCTCCGTGTCCTCCGGTTTTTGACCGCTAGAAATGTCTACGCGATAAGCCACTTCGTTGAGCAATCGTTTGTGGCCAGGTCGCTTCTGGAAAGAAAGAAATAGCTAGATAGCTCAGCGGACCCTACCCAACAACCCAGCCACCACCCCACCACCCTCCCTCTCATCTCAAACCAACAGCAGCCCGTCACTTCCTCAAATCGCTGGATTAGAATTCCTTTCCCGAAAATGTCGTAAGACACAAACCCACTCTCAGGGGTGAGAGGGAGGGGGATAGATATACAGCTGCGTGCACCTAGCCTGGCACGTGCTGCTGCTGCTGCTGTGTATGGCAATGATGCGAGATGTAAATGCGCGGTAGTTACGAGACAAAGACGGCGAGACACGGGGAGGCAAATCTGGATGGATGGACACGGGAGAATCAACACGGATAGAGGCAGATGCCACACAACACAGAGATGCGTGAATACGCAGAGAGATACTGTACCGTATACAGTACAGGCCACGTGCCCTCCCATCTCGGCGTACTAACCAGCGGGGTGAAGTATGGTCAAACAACCACCGTGACCGACACCACGTGGGATGGGGCCTTAGTCTAGCAGTGGACCGAGCAATGCCGGTCGTGACAATGATGTTCGTGCTCGTGTTGCAATTCACGTTAACAGTGCGCACGGCAGTACGTGAAAGTGCAAAGGTGGTGGTTACAAATGAGAATAGACTCTTTAGTCTATTCTTGCCTGACGATTAATCGAATCAATGGGAGCGAGCGGGGGGGGGGTAGAAAATCATTTACACGCAGTACATAACCAGCATCACCCACGGTATTATCTACTGCTGGATGAATGCCTCCTTGCCCCCACCCTCGGTCTCAATGTGTCACCAGCGTGCCCCCCCCCCCCCCCGATGCCTTCAAACTAAAACCGAAAGTATTAACCCCCCCCCCACCCCCCATAGCGCGGGGCCCGGGGCGGCCGCCTCGATTCGCCGCGTTCCTTAGGGGACAGCTGCCAGCTCCGACAGCTTCCTAGAGCCTACGGGGGCACACGCTCAACCACTCCACGTTCCTTCGACGGGAGCCACCGTCGTTACATACGGGTAACAGTAGCGCAGATGTCTCGTGACGCCCGTGCATTTCTGACGTTCGCGCATTCACCGAACCAAACGTCAAAGCCCATCATCACTCCGATTAAAAAGGGCCGCTAAACAACTGTATTATCTGATCAGTGGCCGTGAGAACGCTTACCCCATCTGGGCTGCGACTGGATGCTGCTGCTGCATCACCATCACCATCAGCAGCGCGGTGCTGGACAGCCTCCAAGCCATTGCTGTTCGTTGATGGTGGAGGTGGTGGTGGAGGTGGTGGTGGAGGAGGTGGTGGAGGAGGAGGTGGTGGTGGTGGTGGAGGTGGTGGAGGAGGTGGTGGAGGAGGTGGTAGGTGACGAAGCGAACGGCGTCTCCCGACAACGGCAGGGAACGAGTCGGATGCTCGCCGACGTCGCCGCTTTATATACCCGCGGGTTCCGCCCCCCCCCCCGCCCCCCCCCGCCCCTCCCCCGCCCCGCCTGTCACGTGCGCGGGGCTGGCGTGCAGCGCGTTCGGTCCTGGGCCTCCACTAGGTCCACTCAGCCTCAAATATTTGAGCAACCCGGTGCGATGCGGTGAGACACTCGGGGAGACAAAGGCGGCCGGGCGTGGTGTTGGCCACCCAGCCCCCTTCGTGTGCCGTGCCGGCCTTCATAGGTGCTCGCTAACAACACTTGCCCTAACAGTCTGTTAAGGCTAGACGGGCGATCTTTGTTTATCTTTGTGTGTGCAGGCGTGTGTGTGTGCTGGTGTGTGTGTGTGTGTGCAGGCGTGTGAGTGCAGGCGTGTGTGTGCTGGTGTGTGTGCTGGTGTGTGTGTGTAGGTGTGTGTGTGTGTGTGCAGGCGTGTGTGTGCATACAGGCGTGTGTGTGCAGGTGTGTGTGTGCAGGTGTGTGTGTGTGCAGGTGTGTGTGTGTGCAGGTGTGTGTGTGTGTGCAGGTGTGTGTGCAGGTGTGTGTGTGTGCGGTGGGGAGTGGTAGTGTAGCGGTTAGCGCGCTGCGCTATGAACCTGGCGACCCGGGTTCGATTCCCGCTCACGGCTAACACCAGTGACGATTATCTGAACCGGTCCTGGGCCTCCCCTAGGTCGACTCAGCCTTAAATGAGTACCTGGTGCGGTGTGTAAACATCGCCACTAGGGAGACAAAGGCGGTCGGGCGTGGTGCTGGCCACCCACCCCCTCGTGTACCGTTCCGGCCTTCATAGGTGCTCGCTAACAGCACTTGCCCCTACAGTCTGTTCAGGCTATACGGGGGATCTTTGATCTTTGTGTGCAGGTGTGTGTGTGTGCAGGTGTGTGTGTGAAGGCGTGTGTGTGCAGGCGTGTGTGGGCGTGTGTGTGTAGGCGTGTGTGTGAAGGCGTGTGTGTGAAGGCGTGTGTGTGTAGGTGTGTGTGTGCAGGCATGTGTGGGTGTGTAGGTGTGTGTGTAGGTGTGTGTGTGTGGAGGTATGTGTGTAGGTGTGTGTGTAGGTGTGTGTGTGTGGAGGTGTGTGTGTAGGTGTGTGTGTGTGTCTGTGCGTGTCAGCGGTCATTCAGTGTGTGGGATGTCGAGTTCCGATATCATCTGCGGCTGCTACGGCGCGCAGTGATTTACAAACACGCTGCGCAACGAACCCTCGCCCAGTTAAATTTCCCACTCACAACCAGCAACAACAACAACAAGAGTGAACGAGAGATGTGAACCTGTCCTCTGGGCCTCACTCTGTGTGTAGTAAACATCGTTTTTTCTGCAATATTTTGCTGTCTTTTCTTGGATTTTCTGTTTGCACTTAGTCACATAGTCACTTTAAGATGTTTTTTGTTCATGTTTTTGTTTTTTTTGTTTGTTGCGGTTGCACCCGATTCAAGAGCCGAATGGCTCACAGGGCTATACCTAATAAATGAACTTGAACTTGAATGAACTGGGTCGGTCCCTTGTGTGGCATCGTCTAACAGCAGCACTTGCCCAGACAGCTCGCGAAAGTCTATTTACGGGCCGGGGGAGCTTTGTCTTTGTTTGTGCGTGTCAACCTTGAGTGGCAGTGGCACCACCACATATTGTGGGGGGACATGGACAAAATACACACAGCCCCTGCGACCAATGTCAAGCCTAACTCTCTTCCATATACGTGGGCGAATCTCTTGATCGGTGATTTCGTGTGTGGGGTGTTCGATGTTATCGTATTACACCCTGGCTAGGGCTGAGATACACCAACCCCCCTCGCCCCACGGGGACAGTGGCGATGTCTGTTGGTGCTGGAATAATCAAAACTTGGCATGACCCGACTTGCCAGAGGGTTCCAGAAGCCCAGCGTTTAGAGAAATGAAAGTGTTTCCACCCCTAACAGCTCGCCATCCATGTAGCAGGCAAGTCATCCCTATAACACTTTAGTCATCCCTGTAGCATGCAAGCCATCCCTATAACACGATAGTCATCCCTATAACACTTTAGCAATCCCTATAACACGTTAGTCATCCCAGAAGCACGAAAGCCATCCCTATAACACTTTAGTCATCCCAGTAGCACGCAAGTCATCCCTATAACACGTTAGTCATCCATGCAGCACGCTCGGCATCCCTGCAGCAACACTCACCATCCATACAGCGTACTGGCCATCCCTAGAGCACGCAAATCATTCCTATAACACGTTAGCAATCCCTGTAGCACGCTAGCAATCCATATAACACGTTAGCTATTCCTGCAGCACGCTCGGCATCCCTGCGGCAAAACTCGCCATCCATAAAGCGTACTGCCATCCCTAGAGCACGCAAATCATCCCTATAACACGCTACTAATCTCTGCAGTACGTGAGCCATGCCTATAGGCACGCAAGTCATCGCTTTAACACGTTAGCCATCCCTGCAGCACGCACGCCGGTTGAGCGGAGAACGCGACCCAGGGGTTTGGCAGAAGAACCGTGGGACATTTGGGAGGCAAAGGCGTCCCCGGGTGTGTGAAGGGCCGAATCACAACACCATCAGCGATGTGCGCCGTGCCGGGCTTAATATGTGTTCGCTCACGACACTTTTCCGTAGCAATAAGCGTGGTTAGTGGTTTTATATCTACGACTTCCGTCCGTGTTACCTGCCCTTTCGCAAGTAATAAAACCCATAAACAAATGCTGTGCTCGTTTGCGGTAGACGCGTGGGAAGTCAAATAAAATTATGGAGGAAAACAGGAAATAGGAACAATCAGGAACAAGCTGCTGCTACATCAGATCCATGGGATATGGTGGCTACGACTTGGAAGACACCTTTATCCAGCAGTGGATTGATCATGGCTGCTAATGTTGATGTAAGTATTAATTGTAATAATACTTTCGGTAGAGTCACGTAGGTAAAGAAAATAAAAATAAAATAAAAGATAAAAAATAAAGATGTTTTTTTATTTTCTTAAAAAAAACATTTCTTTACCTGCGGGACTTTACCGAAAGAACCAAGAGTATGGATCCTTGCAGTCACGAAAACTTCAAATCTAAAATGTAATAATACTATAATTAAAGTCACGTCGGTATAAAATCAAATAAATGATGATACCTACGTGACTTTACCGAAGGAAGCAAAGAGGATGGATCCTGCAGTCACGAAAACTTAAAATCTAGATTCATACTACAATTATCACGAGCACCAAGATCATCTCAATCGTCAGTGGTAACAACAGAAATGCCCTGAGCAGCGGCATCATGAGCGAGTGAATATGTAGCATCGACAATGAAGTATAATTCTGAACAATCCACAGTTGGAGTGAATATGTACAATCCACAGTTGGAGTGAATATGTACAATCCACAGTTGGAGTGAATATGTACAATCCACAGTTGGAGTGAATATGTACAATCCACAGTTGGAGTGAATATGTACAATCCACAGTTGGAGTGAAATTGTTCAATCCACAGTTGCAGTGAATATGTACAATCCACAGTTGGAGTGAATATGTACAATCCACAGTTGGAGTGAATATGTACAATCCACAGTTGGAGTGAATATGTACAATCCACAGTTGCAGTGAATATGTACAATCCACAGTTGGAGTGAATATGTACAATCCACAGTTGCAGTGAATATGTACAATCCACAGTTGTAGTGAATATGTACAATCCACAGTTGGAGTGAATATGTACAATCCACAGTCGGAGTGAATATGTACAATCCACAGTTGGAGTGAAATTGTTCAATCCACAGTTGCAGTGAATATGTACAATCCACAGTTGGAGTGAATATGTACAATCCACAGTTGGAGTGAATATGTACAATCCACAGTTGGAGTGAAATTGTTCAATCCACAGTTTGCAGTGAATATGTACAATCCACAGTTGGAGTGAATATGTACAATCCACAGTTGAAGTGAATATGTACAATCCACAGTTGGAGTGAATATGTACAATCCACAGTTGGAGTGAAATTGTTCAATCCACAGTTGCAGTGAATATGTACAATCCACAGTTGCAGTGAATATGTACAATCCACAGTTGGAGTGAAATTGTTCAATCCACAGTTGCAGTGAATATGTACAATCCACAGTTGGAGTGAATATGTACAATCCACAGTTGCAGTGAATATGTACAATCCACAGTTGGAGTGAATATGTACATCCACAGTTGGAGTGAAATTGTTCAATCCACAGTTGCAGTGAATATGTACAATCCACAGTTGGAGTGAATATGTACAATCCACAGTTGAAGTGAATATGTACAATCTACAGTCGGAGTGAATATGTACAATCCACAGTTGAAGTGAATATGTACAATCCACAGTTGAAGTGAATATGTACAATCCACAGTTGGAGTGAATATGTACAATCCACAGTTGAAGTGAATATGTACAATCTACAGTCGGAGTGAATATGTACAATCCACAGTTGAAGTGAATATGTACAATCCACAGTCGGAGTGAATATGTACAATCCACAGTTGGAGTGAAATTGTTCAATCCACAGTTGCAGTGAATATGTACAATCCACAGTTGGAGTGAATATGTACAATCCACAGTTGAAGTGAATATGTACAATCTACAGTTGGAGTGAAATTGTTCAATCCACAGTTGCAGTGAATATGTACAATCCACAGTCGGAGTGAATATGTACAATCCACAGTTGAAGTGAATATGTACAATCCACAGTTGGAGTGAAATTGTTCAATCCACAGTCGGAGTGAATATGTACAATCCACAGTTGAAGTGAATATGTACAATCCACAGTTGGAGTGAAATTGTTCAATCCACAGTTGCAGTGAATATGTACAATCCACAGTCGGAGTGAATATGTACAATCCACAGTTGGAGTGAATATGTACAATCCACAGTTGGAGTGAATATGTACAATCCACAGTTGGAGTGAATATGTACCATCCACAGTTGGAGTGCAATCTGCGAGATAATTCACAGCTGTAGAGTGAGGAACACACTTTCGCCACGAGGGGACGCTGTAGTAATATAAAGCGATTTGTCGGGCAATGCTCCCTGCTATGATGAATTTTCCATCATTTCCCACCGGGAGCCAGTTCGACCTACTTGCAAACCACCATTCATTTCCTACAAAGTGGTACTCATTTGAATCTCACTCCACAGGTATGATGATGATGATGATGATAGAGGGCTGAGTTGACACGTCACCGGTGGCGGATCTCAAAACTTCCCAAGGAGGATGGAGGGGAGGGGGTGTGATTAGAAACACGGCTCACAAAATCTGAAGATTTTTTTTTAAATTAGGACCCGAAATTAATATATAAATACAACAAATCAATCAATTTGTTTGGTAAATATCAACAAAAAACAATTGTAGTTGTTTCATATGGTGGTGGGTGGGCGGACCAAAGGATGTTGGTCACGTGGAGATTTCTGAAACTGTCAAACCCGCTGGGCTGCGAGGTGGTGGCCAGAAGGTGGCAGTACAGCAAGTGGGATCGTGACTTTGTCTGTGTGGCAGAACTTTGAGCCTTACGCTTTCGTACACGTACTGGTGGTGGGTTTTGGATTATTCCATCCATCCGTGCGGGAGCTTTAAGTGTTATCGACTTCGTATGTTTTAGAGGAGACGTGCAAACTCCAAATATACAGGGCTCAGGATGGAGAATCAACCTACGACCTCATGTATACTAGGCGAGGTCATTAACATCTCACCAGCGCTGCACCTCTTCCGATCTCTCATTGCAATTCCAAGCATCCACCCCTCCGTGCTTCTTGGCGCACTTTAATGTTTAAATCGTTGTCCATGTTTGTTAATGGCCGGTTTCTGATCACCGCTTACGACCTCGTAGAATCAAACAATAGTCAATAACAATATATAGATTGTTTATCAATCCACTAGTGGATGAGACTCAGGCACCACGCCGTGTCGGTCGGTCGTGGGGGTTGAATGACCATACTTCACCAGGCTGGTCGGTGCGGATTCGTGACCGGGAAGGGATTTTATTGGAGTGAGGATAGTCGCTCAATCCAGGTTCATTCGCCGTGGCTGGGAGTCAAACTCAGGTGCTGAGGTCTCAGTGCATGGCGTGGCTCGTTGGTCTAGGGGTATGATTCTCGCTTCGGGTGCGAGAGGTCCCGGGTTCAAATCCGGACGAGCCCATTTTTTTTATATATTTTTATTTTTACCATCGGCGTTACTGTGCGAATATGTAGAGCTTATGCACGCACGCACGCACACACGATACGTTTTAATAAATATAAGTGATGTCGTCTTTGTAACTTTTGTAGCATCGGCAGACTTTTTAAAATATAACAAAAGAAAATTCTCCAAGCAGTGTTGTGCGATGTGGGCGTGCACTATCACACCCCCCCACCCCCTCCCCTCCGGCCCCGTGGGCACCAGCGCAGTTACACCGCCTGCACACTCGATAGCTGAACGCCAACGCCTCCAGCATGCCTGCAGAAGTGAGCTTTATTCATACTGTATTGTTATAGATTCTTGATTAATTCAAGTTCAACGTACATACATCTGTAATGACAATCGAGTCGACATGTGGGGTGAGTGGACTAGTGGCTACGGGAGGTAATGACAGGGGAGTCAGCTTACAGTGCGAAGGAACTGGTGGCTACGGGAGGTAATGACAGGGGCATCAGTTGCGAGTGCGAAGGGACTGGTGGCTACGGGAGGTAATGACAGGGGCATCAGTTGCGAGTGCGAAGGGACTGGTGGCTACGGGAGGTAATGACAGGGGCATCAGTTGCGAGTGCGAAGGGACTGGTGGCTACGGGAGGTAATGACAGGGGCATCAGTTGCGAGTGCGAAGGGACTGGTGGCTACGGGAGGTAATGACAGGGGAGTCATTTGCGAGTGCGAAGGAACTGGTGGCTACGGGAGGTAATGACGGGAGGTAATGACAGGGGCATCAGTTGTGAGTGCGAAGGGACTGGTGGCTACGGGAGGTAATGACAGGGGCATCAGTTGCGAGTGCGAAGGGACTGGTGGCTACGGGAGGTAATGACAGGGGCATCAGTTGCGAGTGCGAAGGGACTGGTGGCTACGGGAGGTAATGACAGGGGCATCAGTTGCGAGTGCGAAGGGACTGGTGGCTACGGGAGGTAATGACAGGGGAGTCAGTTGCGAGTGCGAAGGGACTGGTGGCTACGGGAGGTAATGACGGGAGGTAATGACAGGGGCATCAGTTGCGAGTGCAAAGGGACTGGTGGCTACGGGAGGTAATGACGGGAGGTAATGACAGGGGCATCAGTTGCGAGTGCGAAGGGACTGGTGGCTACGGGAGGTAATGACAGGGGCATCAGTTGTGAGTGCGAAGGGACTGGTGGCTACGGGATGATCGAGAAGGGAGCGTGGTCAGGTGACGGAGAGGAGAGGAGTCTGCCAGTGGAGCGAGCGTCCAGAGTCAGCGAGAAGGTTCGAGAAGGGGGGCGTGGCCTCGTGTCGGTATAAAAGGGGGAGATGCGCGGGAGACTCGGGGCTGTTGCAGTGGGGGTCTCCGCCTGATGTCAAGTGAACGTGTCTTCAATAAAGTGCCATCTCAAGAGAAGGGCGTCAAGTCGTCATTACCCATACAAGGAACGTGTTACACTCGTATCTGTAGTACAGCTTTAATGGTGCAGCTTGTTGCTGGCCGCTTGGCGTTTCGGGGCCTTCGGGCCTCTGCTCAGCATCCGTGATTTTTATGTATCTCGATTTGTATATTTACATATATAGATAACAAAAGATGTTCTCTTTATGATTCACTCCCAGTTCACTTTCCCCGTTCATCTGAGCACGCACCTGGCTGCACGTTCAGGGTCGGGCGAATGAGTTTTCGTACCGCTGCAACGCAAATTAGTTCCACTGCAACAGACGGCCGCCTCATTTCGGAAAACGAAATGTATTCCATGTAAAGCCAATGTTCATTAAAAACAAACGGATAAATAAGGAAATATACATCAACGAATCAAGAATCATCAAAATTTATTTACAAATGTACATATCGAACGGACACAAAAATGGTCTGACATTTTTTTGGGTGGACGGGGTGGGTGACGGGGGGGGTCAGGGTTAATGGCTCCTCATTCCCTCCCCCCTCTTTTATCCGCGCAACTTTATACAACGCATTGCCATGTGGTTCTCCCAACCTCCCCTCCTCCTCCACCGGCATCGCGAGATATTCATCTTTCTGTACTATGGTACACCACGAGAGAGGGTGGCAACCCCAGCTGGATGTGGAGCGCCGGGGAATCCCCCCGCTTCGATTGTCGACGTTCCGCGCCCGCACGCAATCTTCAGTCCGAACTTTCCAAGCCCTGCGCCGCCGCCACGCGCTCGAAGATCTGGTGAACGACGGCCCCCGGCACGCAGCCTTCTCGCAGGATGCGGATTCCGACTGCGGGACAAGACACGACGGTGCTGTAGCATGGATACCGTGCAGGAGGAACGGAATATTTTCACACCCGCCCTGCTCACGCAAGGCGATTTTGAATGGACGAGTTCAACGTGTGCGGGCTCAGCTTTCGCGACCGGAAATCACGACTCGCGGGTTTGATCGCGTGAGTAATATATTACGTCGTAAAACCCTCCTCCACCCGACACGGAAAATTAATAGAGTTGTCTGTCACGTGGTGAACAAACGTGGCCCAATGTATGGTAGCACCGCTGCAGCAGCAGCACAACATTGTAATGGGCACGACGCTTCAGTGAAAGTTACAACCAGCATCGCCAGGTAGTTGCCAGAATCTAAATTGGAGCTTCGTGACTGCAGGGATTACTCTTTGGTTCTTTCTGTAAAGTCACGTAAGAACCAAAGAGTTGCCAGAATGTCGTAAAAAAAGACGAAGGTAATGCAATGACACACTTATAACAATAAGGACAACGATGCCCCATATAGCCTCACACAATGTTGTGGCAAATCTACATTTTTGTTTTAATTATAGTTTTTTTCCCTGCGCATCTACGTTAGCCTGAGTCGACCTCGGGGAAGCCTAGGACCGGTTCAAATAATCGACGCTGGTGTTAGCCGTGAGCGGGAACCGAAACTCGGATCACCGAGTTCACAGTGCAGCGAACTCACCACTACACGACCGTTCCCCACACGAACACACGCAAAAACAAAGATCCCCCATGGAGACTTTAACATGCTGTCGGGGGAAAGTGCCATCAGCAGCAACCATTATTCTCGGATTGGCGCACGGATGGGCAGTGTGGCCAACGCCACCGCGCCCGGCCGCCTTTGTCTCCCCGGCTCGATGCAGACGCTCGCAACGCAGACACACGCGGACCACTCACTGCCGTCGATGTCGAGGCAGTTGACCACGGTAGAGGCCACCGTCTCGTTGGAGTCTCCGTCGCACAGAACCCGTCCAGCTTGTCGCCCAGGCGCCTGCGGGGGCGGCGAGAGAGACTCTCACCACGGAGCGGAGCGAGCGCAGCACAGACCCACTCTGGCTGGTACTGCCGCCGTGAGTGTGTGTTGTGGTGGTGGAGGTGGTAGTGGTTGTGGCTGCTGCGTCCTTGTTGCTGTACTGCTCACCGGATCACCATGCTGTGGTGGGTGCTGTCACTGTGTGTGTGTTGTGGTGGTGGTGGAGGTGGTAGTGGTTGTGGCTGCTGCGTCCTTGTTGCTGTACTGCTCACCGGACCACCATGTCGTGGTGGGTGCTATCGGGCTCCCCGCTCGGGTTGGCCGAGGTGATGGCGATGGGCCCTGTCATGGACACGAGGTGTGACGCCACGGTGCTGTCCGGCACGCGGATCATGATGCTGTCTGCTGTGCCCACCAGGTCGTACGCTTCCCCACACCTGGGCACACGGAGGTAGGGAGGGGGAGGTCAGTACAGCAACAAGGACAGCAGCAAGAGCAGAAACAGCAGGAGCAGAAACAGCAGCAGCTTCAGCAGCAACATCACTGATAGCAGCGACATCAGTGATAGCATCATCAGCAGTAGCAGCAGTGTTATCAGACTCAACACCGCTGCTGCCACTATCATCATCGTCATCATGAACATCACCATCAAAGCCACCTCCATCATGACCACCACCTCCATCATGACCACCACATCATCATTATCATCATCATAACCAGCAGCACCAGCAGCACCGGCCACCGGCACCGCGCGTCGCGAGGCTCATCAGCAGTGCAGGTTACCGAGGCGCAGCAGCCAGTCCCCTTGGGCACGATGCAGCTGATGCCCCCGGGTAGACGCGCTCATGAACTCCCAGAGCAGGGGCTGAACGGGGGGCGCACGAAGCGATCTGCTCCAGGCTCGAGATGCAGATGCACACGGGCTTCTCCTGGGGCCGGTCCTGCAGGGCGGGGGGGGGGTGCAGGGGGGTGCAGGGGGGGGGGGGGTGCAGGGGGGTGCAGGGGGGGGGTGCAGGGGGGTGCAGGGGGGCAAACAGAACAGAGAACCATTTAATCATCTTTGCTCGCGGGTCACCAGTGGAGGACCCCCCCCACCCCCTCTCCACCCCTCCCCTCGCCCCCTAAAGTTCGACTGTGGGGGAGTGATCTCGTCCAGCGGGGTACCCAGGGAGTGCTGCGAGCACTACGGGAGCACTCTGAGCACGACGCGAGACCTGTGCGAGTACCTATGTAATAAAAGCCTATGTCGGATTCACGTGGTGATCGGCTTTGCCGTTCCGCTTTACAGCCAATGGGGGGAGAGCCTGGGAGCATGGCCTCGGCGTGATCACGGGATGTCAGCTAGGTGATTGGTTTTGCTGGTCTTGGCCTCAGCCAATGGGAAGACAAGTCAGGGGCGTGGTCCGGGAGTTGATGGGGAATCTGGAACATTCGGCGCAGGCTATTGAGGATTCGCTGGAGTGTACCATGTGACCCAGGCATTAAATAAGGGGAGAGAGGAGAGACACGTGGTCAGACAGAACGAAGAGAGAGAGAGGGGCCACGCGCGAGTGGGGCTCCGGGTGCCACGTGGTGGTGGGTCTCTGGTGGCTGTCTGCCCTCCCGTTGCCTGCCAGCAACGGGGAGTGTTTGTGAACTGCAAGAAGTGAAATAAAAGGACCGATCCATAAGCCGTCTCCAGCGTGTTATTACACCTAGAACAGGGGCTGGGCAACCTGCGGCTCGATCGACACTGACTTACCTTTTGTTGTTTTACCGAATTCTAAACAAATTTCTCTTATCGCCATTTTCCGGCTTGCTAACCCCTGACCTCGAACCTAGACGGCGGTAGGTGCCGTTAGCCCGCAAAGTTCTACGAGTACCCCCCCCCGGCGAGTAGCCCCCCCCCCCGCGAGTACCTTGATGGCGTAGATGCGCTGGATGGCCCCCGGGTGTCGGCACGAGGCGGCGAGCGCGTACACGGTGTCCGTGGGGACGCCGCACACGGCCCTCCCCCCAGCAGGCCGCGATCTCGCGCAGGCCGCTCGTGCGCCGCGACACGGGGGTCACGCACGGGGGGGCCGCGGGGTCACGGGTCGCACGGGTCTGTGGGCATGGAGTGGGGGCGCATGGGGGTGAGGAGAGAGGGGCACGGCGCATGCGAATTGATTCATTGTTACAATCGAATAATTCATTAATTTAGGAATTCATCATCCATGACTCATTCATTCATTCAATAAAGACTAGCTTTTTTGCCTGTCCAAGGACGGGTGTATATTGTAGTAAATCTGAAATATTCAATAGAAAAATTGTTCAGCTCATGATTATTAATGAGGGGGGGGGGGGTCCCCATGTGGAGCGACGTCACCCGCTAACTAATGGTTATTGGGGAGAGGTGCAGCATGTGGAGTGACGTCACCCCCTCATGGGTATTGTGGAGGGGTGGCTTCTTTTGCAGTGACGTCACGCACGGATGTAGCAGTGTGCTGCTTAGATTTTTTTTTACCGTCATTTTCTGTAAAGAAACGTCATATTTGAAGCGACTTTGCGTAATACATTATTTAATTCTGCACGACCTTCCTCTGCGTTCGTGTAAAAATCCACCCACTCTTGAATATTAATGAGGGGGGTGGGCTCATGTGAGTGACGTCACGCGGGGGGTGGGCCTCATGTGGAGTGACGTCACGCGGGGGAGGGGTGGGCCTCATGTGGAGTGACGTCACGCGAGGGACGGACAAACATTGCTGGGTGATTATAGTAGGTAATGTGAAATGAGTTTGGCACAGCCTACAATGGGCACTGTCTCCATGTCTAACATGTTATATTCTCTATCCCCTGTCCTGTGTCTCCTTGCCCCCATGTCTCCGGTCACTCTGTTCCCGTGTCTCCCCGTGTGCCTGTGTCCCCGTGTCTCCCCATGTCCACGTGTCGCTATGCCGCCCCGTGTGTCCCCATGCCTCCCCGTGGCGTCCCGCTCACCCGCAGCAGGGCGCGTCCCAGGGGCAGCAGCTGCCTCTCGAAGACGCAGTTCGAGACCGAGGCGAGTGTCCCGTACGCACAGCTGAGCGCCAGCAGCGCCAGCACCACGTCTGGGAAGGGGGGGAGGGGGGCGGAAGGTGTGAGCGATGACCCGTGGTGATGATGGGTGAGCAGGGAAGCTCATTGATGATCAGTGATGAATACGTATCGTCTTTTTTGCATTGCTCCCTTACTGGCAAACTCATGTCGCGACTTGGCAAGCCGGTGCCGTGTACGCCTTGTGCCACACAGGGACAGCTGCCACTGTGGGTTCCCTTGGCTACAATTTGCCACAGGGCAAATGGATGGTTGAGATGAGATAAGGCGCTTTGAGATTCCGATGGATTTAAGCACGCACCACTTTGCGCGCACATCTTCATCGGCGAGACAGGGATAACTGATGACCAGTGGTTGTGAGCAAATTCAGCGATGGTCAGTGATGGTCAGCCACGATCATCATCGACAAGTGATCAGTGATGTGCGGAGATCAGTTGTGTTGATGGATGTTGTCTTTACAGGTGCACTGCTAGCTGTGTCATCTTCGTCGTCCTCACCCTCTAGTGGCTGGGGGAGGCTCTTGAGTGTGAAGAGGAGGAGGCAGATGACGAGGAGCTGCATGACGAGCGTGTGGAAGAGGAGGACGAGGTTCCCGTACACGGCTGGGGGAAATCGGGAAGATAGGGGTCACGGGGTCACAAGACAGCGTGTGCATTATCCCGCCGCAGCATCACCTCGAGGAAAGTGCAGTTAGAGTACACATGGTGTTGGACCAGATGACGCCAAAAGGCGCACGCAATTATCTAAGTCTTCCCAGGACATAAAAATGTGCACAATAATACACCGCTGTTTTTGAGTTGCACGCCTTTTGGCGTCATCTGGTCCAACACCATGTGAGACTAGGCTCTAAGAAAAGCTGTCTCGGGTGTGGACCAATCAACTTCAAGGACAGTGCATACATTATCAGAGTTGTGTTTTTTGTTTGCATTATGACTGCAGGTATTGTGGTCTATGCAAACATGACTCCTTGTAAAAAGGGTGTCAGTTTTGTTGCCAGATAAAAGGGTAAAAAAAACAAAGATCGTAATCATTACTATTTACATCTTTTTTTAAACACAACAAAACAATTTGTAGAAAAGTATTTTTATTAGAAAAATAATTTCACATCTCCGGCTGCTTTGTTGGGTGTCGCCCCAACGCCCCTAGTGGACGAACCGCGCATGAAGGAGACTTCCTATCCAGTGCCAGTGTCCACTTACCCACAAGTATCAAGAAGGTGTTGATGACGAGCGCGGAGATCGCTCCTGCCATGAAGCCGTCAATTTCATTATCAGGAACCTGGAGGGGGATCCTGGAAAACCATCATCAATAATCAGCATCATCATCATCAGCACTGTCAATATACTCAACGTCTCGATTTAAAGCTTTCGTGACTGCAGGGATTCATATTCTTGGTTCTTTCGGTAAAGTCACGTAGAAGGGAAATAATAAAAGAATCAAAATAAAACAATAAATTCTCACGACGTTTCGATTGCAACACAAGCAATCATCATCATGTGTGAAAACCACGTGGTGCTAACGTTGTTTAGGCTCTGAGATCTGTCTTCCACGAAGATCACACCGAATTCCCTACGAATTTGCAGGCCTGACCCTCAGAATCAGAGTTCACAACACACATTCTTCCACCTAACAATGGCAATAAGGGCAGCACTGCTAGTGAACTTTTTAATGGATTTAACGAGTGATTTGGAATCGCGGACAACTGTGGCAATTTCCTTGTCCTCATTTTTGTGTGTCAAGAATATGGACTTGTATTTGCTGTTCCATCACTATATAGTCCAGTAGATGTTCTCTTTTGTGATTGGCCATCCACCCAAGTGATGCAAAAGCGTGTTGGCGATTACGAACCCATTGGCTGCACAAACATCTGGTAGCCTCCTATTGATCTTGTTGAGATGATCTGTCCCACGCCTTCCAATCACTTCTACAAACGTGCTAGCATCATTATCCGCTCAGGAAATAAAGTAACCGAATAGATAACTGTGTTCCACGGGACAACTTTAGCCAACAAACTGGGACAGCAGATCACAAGTGAAATTTTCCTCATCAGCCTTGCCTGTGTCCCTCTACATATGTTCATCTACAGTGGGGTATAGGCCACCCCCCAGACTCCTGTTGATTCCTCGCCTCCGGTTGATTGGGAGGTGATCGCCACCACTCACCCGCCAGCCGCAGCCAAGTCCACACAGCCCAGAAGGCCGCGTAGCAGAAGGGCATCACGGATCCACTGGATGCCGGACGCAGGAGTCCAACCCGGGCCACGAACAGCTGCAGCAGAGCGCCGGGCAGCAGCACCAGGGCAGGGAGAGGCGAGCGCGGAGCGGCTCCGTCGAGTGCAGCGCGGACATCGCGGCCACGCCGTTGCACAGGTAGAACGCGGCGTCTGACAGCTGCGCCATGGAGGGGCCGGGCTGGTTGTTGCCCGCCTCGTTGTTGCTGCTGCTTCCGCTTCCGCAGCAGGACCTGCGGAGCGCGCCCAGGAAGGCCCGCAGGCGCTGCGAGGCGAGGGGCACGGCTCCGATGGGGACGAGCGGCTTCTCGGCG